AATAGGTTCCTGTAGCACTGTAATAGAAATATTGTAATGAAACCAAATGAACCACTGAACTTAGCATTCAGTCAGGTAGACATTAATGAATGAGGGAATACTGTGATGATTTCCCATTAAAGATTAGATCAGGCTGTAAAAAATTAAGACAACTGATCATATGTAACACCAAACACTACAATTACAGCTAAAACTTCACTGTAATCTGTGTAAGTTTTGTTGAGGTTTTTTGTTTTATGAGCGGTGGTTTAATTGTAATTTTGTTTTATTGTTGTGTTTTGTGTTAAGCACTTTGGTCAGCTGTCGCTGTGTTAAATGTGCTATATAAATAAAGTTGATGATGATGATGTAGATTAACAACACATTACAAATTAGATCACCAGATAAATTTTTGATTTATCAATTTTGAGAATGTATATCACATTTGTCATTTCTATTTCAGCTGTGGACCTACAGTTACTCAGCAAAAACAAACGCCAGCGCAGGCTGTGGAGTTCTGCAGAAAAAGCAACGGTGTGGTGACAACTGGGGCAGTGCATCACTATGCAAAGAGTTCCTGGTAAAGAGGTCTGCCTCAAGGCACTTAAAGCAGAACCAGCACTGGGCAGTCACAACTGGAAAGATTTAAAGAATAATGTCCACAACTCCATCATGTCTCAAAAAGAGGAAATTGTTGTTCATTTTTAATTTATGTTGTGCAAATAAAGCCAGTTGTGACTAATTTCGTTTGCTAAATTGTTTATCAAGCTTCTATCAATGGAGTGGGTGAATTAAAATAGGTAAATCAAGATTAGAGGACTTTGACAAACATTGCTTTCAGTGTTACTGGTGTTAAGCAAATGTAGCAAGTGACATGTAGGATTGAAAAAACCCAAAGTTTAGATGTCTGCAAAAATACCCAGTTTTAAATGCAAAGATGCATGCCATATACCGTAAAATCCGGACTATTGAGCGCACCTGACTATAAGCCGCGCCCACTAAATTTAAGAAGAAAAAAAAAATTGTACATATATAGGCCGCACTTGTCTATAAGCTGCAGGTGTCCACGTTGTAACATGAGACACAGTATTTACACAGAAAGATGTTACACAGCTTTTGTCATCTTTTTGGATTGAGTCAGTTCTTCATGCTGCCTTCTCCATCGTCTCACCATGCATCCATTGATGCCAAGCTTACATGCAGCAGCTCTATTTCCTTCTTTGACAGCCAGATCGATCGCCTTTAACTTGAAAGCTGCATCATATGCATTTCTTTGTGCGTTTTCCATGATGAGGGTGTGTGCATGAAGTGCTAAATGACTGATCTGAAGAATTCAGTGTGAGTGCATTTGATTTAGTTTGAACAGTTTCATTGGTCCACTGTGAACTGTTCAGTAATTTCATTGGTCTGATGTGACGAGGCTGAATGTATTGGCGGCATGAAGCTCGTTAGCCCCTAAAAATCCATAAATTAGCCGCATCGTTGTTTAAGCCACCGGGTTCAAAGCGTGTGAAAAAAGTAGCGGCTTATAGTCCGGATTTTACGGTACCATTTTTATAATACATGTTTTAATAGATATAAATACAATCAAATTTAAATACACTTTACATGGGCAAAATTAAAAACCACATGCTTCCATCTCTGTAATGCTGTGGTTTGGGTTAACCAGGAAAGTAAGATGGGACAGTTATGAAACATCTGCTAAAATCTGGTGATACAGTGAGGAACAGAAGTATTTGAACACCCTGCGATTTTGCAAGTTTTCCCACTTAGAAATCATGGAGGGGTTTGAAATTTACATTGTAGGTGCATTCCCACTCTGAGAGACAGAATTTAAAAAAAATTTCAGGAAATCACATTGTATGATTTTTAAAGAATTTATTTGTCTTGCACTGCTGAACATAAGTATTTGAACACCTGAGAAACAGCAAGAATTCTGGCTCACAAAGACCTGTTACTGTGCCTTGAAAAAGTCCACCTCTACTCCACTCATTAATCTAAATTAGTAGCACCTGTCTGAGCTCTTTAAAGACACCTGTCCACCCCACAGTCAGTCAGACGCCAACTACTACCATGGGCAAGACCAAAGAGCTGTCAAAAGACACCAGAGACAAAATTATGGACCTCCACAAGGCTGGAAAGGGCTACGGGGCAATTGCCAAGCAGCTTGGTGAAAACAGATCAACTGTTGGAGCAATTGTTAGAAAA